CGCTGGTAAGCTTAGAATTTTTCCAAAAGTTTCCATATTTCGTCAGTCAAAGTAATGAATGTGCCTTAAATTTCGTATGAAAACGAAATTCCGTGAGCTGCATTTTAGGCGACGTAGGGCGCTTCACAAAATCGGTAAATTTTACCTTTTTCATCTCGATCGGCAACCTCAGTTCGGCCAAAATTCAATTTTGGCTCGTAGCAAAGCAAAAATAAGGAACTGGAAAATAATAAGTTGGTTTTTTATATATATGTGTCAAACCCTTTTCACTGACAAAAAATGAAGGAAAAGTATTTTTGGTCCCGAAGTCGAGTGGACCGCTTTTAGCGGGACTGCCACTTAAATTTTGAAATAAAAATGAGGGGTCCCCATGTTCGTTTAGGAGCAACAGAACCTTGTTTATACCCAATAAATCCTTATACTAGCACCATGATTGTAGTCACGATTGCTTGCTAAATTCACGTTTCCGACGATTTCTTTTTGTTCTACACTGAGAATTGGTCCATATTTATTTTACACAGAGAAATTTGTTAGTCAATTCAAAACAACAGAAAAAAATGATCGGTCACCATACTCGTTTGCGAGGAAATGACGATTTACTTCTATGGAGAGGTCCAGCCGTACAGAAAAAGCCGCCATTTTTTAATGCGCGCGCGCTAATCACGCGTGAAATTCTGCGCAGTAGGGATGCGCAATGCAATACTGGGGAATGACCTTAAACGCTTCTAGGTGATATGCTTCTGTTGAGAGAGAATCATGCTATTATTAATCGAAGTATTTTTTCAGCTGGGTGACGAAACTGATATTACATCTTTAAGATAATGAGAAGTGGAATTGTGAGTTGCGCATTGGAGTACTGAGCATCCATTCTCATTTATTCTTTTATCATTACTTAGCAAGACAAGTGTGACATAAGAGTCTTTGTTACGTCCACATACTACGTAAGGGCAGGAGCCATAATCGGGGACGGAGACCGGAAGCGCGCGCCATTTCTAGTATTGGGGCTGTCCCTATGATATGGGACAATTTTTCTATTTTTAGAACAAGTTGCGCCATCGCCTGCGGCACACGCGCGTGTATGCTGCGAGGATTTTTGTGGACGTAGCGCGGGGAAATGGCGTCCGAAATTCCCGAAATGTTTGATTCTTTTGGCCCACAACTCAATACGGTTGCGTTTTCTCTAGGCCGATTAACTAGCTGAACATTCTTTCTAGGTGTTTGTTTACAGACCAACATTTGCTAGTTGAACGTGACATCTGTTTTCACTGGAAATTTAACCAAGAATTTAACCCGCTGACTCAGAAGATTCAAATTAC